GAGGAGAACACTGTAAAAACAAAAACGTAAATAATGATTAAGCAGACAGCCTGTTAATTCCACTGTAATCCATACCCGAACATTCTGTAATATATTACCAGTGCTACTGAGTCCCCTAATCAGTCATTAGACTGACGCACAGTTTAAAAATCACAGAGCTATTTGTAAATCTAATGTAAATACTGTTAGTGATGACAAACGGCCCTGAATGATTTCAGCAACAAGTCATTAAATAAACGACTGGAAGTGATAACCATCATGCAGTGATGACTCACAACTGTATATAACTCCAATACATACACAGAAAAAAAAAGGTATCCAATAAAGGCCCGTTAAAACCTCTCATTTTTACATTGAGAATTATCATTATTTCAGGCCACTGCTTCTTAAAATATGGGTCAAGACCCAAAAAAGCCGCAAGCCTGTTTCTAGTGGGTTCCCGCATGAAATAAGTAATAATATGCTTTCACATGTAAGAAAAGAAATTCGGTCTCTTCCTGGAATTGGGAAAAAAAAACACTTGGAGGGATGTCCTCCAAGAGCAGTAGTTTTCAGAATAGCTAATGGGTGTACAGGAAACAGGCGCTAAGACTTCTGGCGCTAGTGGGCTAAGCAATCAAAACAATCTCTCCATCTTCTGATTGAGGAGAAAGGGACCTATGCCAGACTCTTCATCGGGGGGGTGGGGGTGGGGCAAGCAGGGACGAGGGATAAAGAAACAGTAGGAGTAACAGAAAAGGAGGAGCCCCAAAGCTAAAATTATTTTCTTCTTCTCTGACTTACACTTTTTTTTACAACCTCCTCTCTTTCATCTCCTGTCCTCTTTAGTCCTCCATCCTGTCTTCTCCTTGTTCTTTCTCCCTCCACTCTTTTTCTTATCTACACACTTTTTCCACATTTTCCTCTTACTCCCATGCTTCTCTCCTCCGCCATGATGTGTGTGCGTTATGAGTAGGAGTTGGGGAGAAAGTACGTGGGATTTTCCCACAGCTTGGCAGGACCAGATCCAACCCCCTACCACCCACAAATTCATTTCTCTCTCCCTCCACTCCCTCTGTCTCATGTCAGAGGGGAGTCTTGAGGAAAACCACCCATATTCCACCACTAAGTGTTTTGGATATTTGCTGGAACTTTACACTGCTCACTGTTCCATAGACATCAACTGTGTGCTGCTATGGCAACACAGTTATTATTATTAACAAGGTTACAGGACAAAAATATCTCTGCCTTTGAATTACAGTAAAATGGTTAAAGAAATCCTACTAATTAAATTCTTATAAAAGGCCTTGATTTCCAGAAGAAAGCAAAGCTGTTGTGAAACTACATGCATGTTTTGTATGGGTTTCCTAGGGCTTCAGGACCATGGGGCGCTCTATCTAGTCATCCATTCCAAGCTTAAGCTTGATTTATGACTCTGTGTTGAATCTATGCCATTGGTATGACATAGCTAATGCGTAGCCTTGTACCCTACGTCATAGCCTACTCCATAGCCTGATGAGCACCTCTCCAGAAATGTAACTACATGGTGTGGTGACACAGAGCAGAACAACTGTGACTGGTTGCATCTCATTTCCTCATTCATGTCTTTCAGTGGTGGGACAAGCACGGAAAACCCCCCCTTGTCCTGCCTTGGTTGGTTCAGTGGTCATACAGACCGTCTCCTACAATGTCTTCTCTCTTATCTGTGTTGCAGTAATTTCAGTAAAAGTAACTGCCATTAGTTTCAACTCCAACATGAAGAAACACAACACAGTGGCATAGAAATCCCACAACCAACTAACGTTTTGGTGGTGTAATTGCAGAGCGCACAAGCATAAATGCATAGGCCACTTCCGTAGCCTATGGCGTAGGCTCTGCATAGATACAACGCAGAACCATAAATCAAGCTTTACTCAGGTCTGGGTCACAACAGCTACAGCAGGGTGAAGACTGGTTTATATTCATTCAGAACACTGTGCCCTGTGTCTCTCAGTGCAACATGGTGTCGTTTGCTCGTCACTACCCGTTTGTGCAGGTGTCTATAAGCGCGTGATTTACCTCTGCTGCCTGTGTCTCCTGGTGCAACAGCGTCAGCCCTGTCAGGTCTTCCAGGAAGGAGTGGGAAGAATTAAAAACCTTGGACAGGAAGTTGAAGCCTTCCCTCTCATAGTGATCCAGGACCTGGGCAAACCATGAACAAAGAACAATTCCAGGTTATATAAGAGGAAATGTGACGTCTCCTGCTAGGGTAAGAATACAGTCATTCTGCTTGAAACGTTTACACTACAGGCAGTTACATTACTGTACTGGTTTAAAGTCTATAGTTTTAATATCTCACTGTAATCATCAGTTTTTTTAATGATTTGTAACCTACGGAGTATAGAAAGAAAGAATAGTAGGTGCAAAGAAAAGTAATTAGCTGTGTTTATGGAGGGATCATATGTTACCGGGGCATGTATCTATAAATGCTATACATTTGCACTACAGCAAGATATAGACTTAAATGGAAGATGCTTGAAATACTTCAATTTGCTTTGGTGCAGCAGTTTAAACAGCAAAGGTCTGATTCAAGTCACAAGGGTAAAACAGGTTTCTTAATAAAAGGTTCCCTCTTCACCTTTTATATTGTTTGACACATTTTCCACTGCTCTCAAACACCTTTCACTCAAAAGCATATAATAATAATAATAACAACAACAATATTTGAATGTGATAAAACAAAAATGTTGCTTCATTGTTTTGGTTCTTTCACACAATGTCTGCAACACTATAACTCAGCAACTCTGCAATTATGCTGAAATGTTTACCTTGATCTTCCACCAGTACTGACTTCAGAAACTCATACTCTCTTTCCAAAGTGCGCGCACGCACACACAGATTCTCTGCCCTCTAAACCAAGCCTTTCATGGACACCCACAGACCCTCCTCTGCAGGTGTAGGATTACCTCTGCCTCAGACATCAACAGGGTCTGTGTGCATGACTGCCTGTGGGCGTGCGCGCATGTTCACAGTCTGACCATGGCGTCAAGTCTTGGAGCCAGACACACCACACACAATATACACTGACATGCCCGTTGTTCATCTTTTCAACCTCTCTTTTCTTTCCATCCTTCACTTGTATTTCTTTGATTCTGCACTTCCATCTACGGGATCAATTTACATGAGACGCCAACGGCCAAAACCCACTTTATTGTAATATAGCTGACACAGAAAGCAACTTGATAACTGTGATGATCTTGTGATAATGTTAATAAAGTCACTCCAAGCAATGCACACAGACACACAGTCACACACACAACACACTTAGTTCATTTACTCATGTTCATTTAAATAGTAGACACCTTGGAAAAAACATAATAAATCTGAAAATGTTAGCCAGGTCAGGACAGATGGGGTTGTAAAAAAAAAATAACAATCGACTCTATCATCACTTTTACTTCCTTCCTTATTGATTCTGATACATAAGAGGCTTGATAGCAGATGAGGGAAGCATCTACTACCTGGCTAATTCAGACTGCACTGTGTCAAAGGCACTGTGTGAAATAAAAAACACAAACATATGTGAACACACTGAAAAGAAAAGACCTGAATTTCTGCAAGATTTCACAGTACTTGGCAGGTACGGACGGTTTTCAATAGTGACCACATGATGTCGATGGGAGCACCAGTTAAAGTTACAAACACACTGAGTCATCGACAGCTGGATGTGCTGCACTTATGCATGCAAGCACACACATATACGTACATGCATACGCAGGCACTTGTTTGAATGCTTCTTTCCTTATGAAGCCACATTGATGTCTAGCCTCCAGATTTATTAGAGAGTGGTGATATTTTCTTTCTGAAGTTGTTATTAACTGAAGTGTAACACACCAAACACACATGGGGTTTTTCTGGTGGCTCAAAGGGGCTTTAGCTTCAGCTATTAACATTTAGACTTAGAGGGATATTTACTAAACTTGTCACAATTACCAACAGGTGCACAAAATATTGGGACACCACTTTTTTTTCCCCAAGCAGGATATTTACTAACATTGATGTAAATGAGCTCAGCCACAGCTGTGTTAATCTGAATACACCTCCGTTTTGGATCTGCTGCCTTAAGGCTACTGCGCTCATGTGGGCCGAGAAGAAGTGTAGAAGAAAGAAGAAAAAGAAGAAGAAGCTTTATTTTATTGTCATTTTTACATTGTGACACGAACATTACATGATTACTGTATGTGCAAAGCACAAAAAATACAATTTAGAGTGTTAAAGGATAAGGATAAATCACCTTTATTGGCCAAGTATGTTACACACAAGGAATTTGTTTCTGGTACAGAACTGAGGCAGCCATCTGCGGCATCAACTCAACCGATGGCTCTAACCATCGGGGGCAACAGGGGGGTTCAGTGTCTTGCCCAAGGACACTTCGACATGTGGACTGTAGGCACCGAGATTCGAACCTTCCAGTTGGGAGATGACTGCTCTACCCACCGAACCAAGTTTACAGCGACTGAACTTTAATATGGTTGAAGAAATCAACAAACACATTTTGGAACTACAATCACATAGTTTGCTGTCAGTCAAATCAACTTTTATTTCACTCATTACTTGAAGCATGGTTTGACCCGAGAGCCTGAAAAAGTCCTTCACATTCTCCTCTGGCGAGCGATGCAATTTACAAACATCCTGTCCTTCTGCAAACATATGTTTTTTTTTACACCTGCTTTCTCCTGATGTTAAATTTCTGCCACAGTTCCCCCTGTCGCAGAGGTGGCAAATAAAGGGCTGAGGGAATTTGTATAAATTTCCATTCTCTCCTCCCTTAATTTTGCATCCCTACCGGGAGTGGTAAGTGTATATTGTATCAGACCAAATGTGCAAGTTCCTGTGGTGCTGCATTTCTTCTGTTTCTCCACCGCAAAACTCATTAACTCCTTAGCAAATATCAACATGTGCAATCTCACGGTTTAGTGCCAGGAAATACATCTCCTATAGTGGCTTACCACTAACTGACTTCTTGTTTCAGTTCTGAAACGTACAAGTATAAGGACCGTAAATGGCTAAAGCACGCTCAGAAGCACACATAATACTGAGCCACAACTTCAGTGACCGATACAAATCACAAACCTCAAAACCTCAATGGGATACACCTTGTTCTGATACAGAGCACAATAAAAATGAATCTGCACACTATAATCACATTTTTTGTGACAAAGACTGTGTATCTTAAATGTAAGACAGTAACTGTTATCAGAGGTTTAACAGAGAACTACTGAGCCATGTTAGTGACCAGTTCAGTGAAGTAACTTGTACTTTTTGCTATAAATAGTGGTAGCATATTTGTTAGTGTTAATACAAGTAGTAAAAGGTGTCTGGCAAGGTTTTAGATAAAGCCACGTCAGCTGTGATTTATTCTCTGGCGTGTAGTTTTATTGGCCTGCAGGCCCAAAAAGAATTAGTAAATACACACACACACAGAATGAAAAGCCCCAACTCCACAGGAACTGCTCCAGCCCAGACAGGGGTTGAAATGTTTTGTTTCCATAGTGACCTGGCAGCACACAGCTGAGTGCAGCAGGTATACACACAGACACACTCACACACAGAAGACAAAGACAAACGCACATTACAGTGAACAGATAGATAGATGTACAGAAGGCTGCACAAAGGAAGGGGAGATATGGGAGAGGTAGAACAGGAAGGGAGAGATGATAAGACAGAGGGGAGAGATGGAGGGAAGAGGGAAAAGTGGAACAGGAGGAGGCCGATAGAAAAAAAAAGAGAGAGCAGAGCAAATAAGCAAGTGCAAAAGAGAGAAAAGGTGGGATTAACTGCATCCAAACATTTTAAACAATCTCACTACAAAACCCTACAAGCCCTTCCTCATGAAAGGGTCATCTTTCCTAACTCGTACTGTCCATTGCTCCTGGCTATACAGGCTTTACCATTCTCTATCAAACCATTGGAACCCTCTGTGCAGACCAAATCATTTCATCAGTCACACAGCAGAAACATGACACCTTAAGATGGGCTGGAACCTCATACTTTTTTTTTTCAGAAGCAGAGTAGGTGGAGAAAACTTTAAACTTTTAAAGGACAAGCAAGCCAGCTCCCTCCCCCCCTTGCCTCTTGGTTTCTCACTCTGTCTTCACATGAAAGTGATAGATCTGGGGCTTTATGACCTCTTTATAGACACAAAGACTGCATTGAGATTGGGGAGAAAGAGAGAGAGAACCAGCCCTCACCCTCATCACAACACCCTTTCTTCAGCCCTGCACTTCCTCTCTTTATCCACCCCCTCCCCCTGCCCCCTTTTTTTTTTTTTACTTTCTCACTAAGTTGTGGTTTTCTCTCCCTCCCCCGGTCTAACTCCAATGTACACCGACCAATCACACTGACTGAAGCTGCTAACCACAGGACCACCTGGCGCACTGATTGACCAGTTGGCTGTGGACCAATGGCAATGCAATAAAAAGACACAAAGGCAATTTTCTCCCACCCCACTTAGCCGATTTGGGTTATATAGACCCTTCAACAACCCACCTTTATACATACACACACAAGCAACTGCAGTGGTGGAAGCTGATTCCAGTTACTGACATCAATGAGCAACTGCTGCCTGATTGTTACCATATGGTTTTAGCAGCTTTCTCTCTCTCCCTCTCTGTGTGTGTGTGTGTGTGTGTGAGATAGAGAGACTTCAGTATTCCTCAAGGAACATTTCAACACAGCTCCACTGATTTAACAATGTGGAAATGGGAGAGATGGGAATCCCCTTATTTCTGCCAAGACCACAATTTGTGTTTCAAAACAATATAGTGACATAGTAACAGAATCTAATCTGATAAGTACATCAGAACCTACCTATCTGCATCTATGTTTCAAACTGTCTGAGAAAATGGATTTTACCTTCAAAACACTGTATTGTTATTAAACTAGATTTGAAAAGATGATCTAGGCAGACATTATTTGTGCCACTTACAATGGGTGAACAGGCAGTGCATTTGTCAAAAGCCAGGCTGGCAGGCAGGACGTTGTCGAACCTCGAAAGAAAGCCTCGGATCTGTGAAGCAGAAATCAACACGTCACAAACTTCACAGAAACCAGAAGCACAGAATCTCTTTTCTGTTGAACCTCTTCAACAATCAAAAATCACAACCTCGCAACATTCACATAAAAACACAAGTTGACTCAGGAAAAGCAATAAGCTCCTTTCAGACACGTGTAAGGGAGAGTATATTGATGCCTTTATTTCTTGTAAATCAGAGTAAATGTAACATCAGTGGAGTAGAAAACATTTAATCTGGCACTTAAAAAATAAGGAGGCAGTTTGACTTTTTGTTTTCCACATTTCAAAATCATGCTTAGAGCTCCCTCTGGTGGCAGAGAGACCACAGCCTTTTTCAGGAAATCATTTTCAGCACATCTCTCACTGCTGACACCCTTCACTCCTACTTATGGCTACTGTAATTATGGCTAATTTTCCTTGATTACTGTCTAAAGAAACCCTTACACACGCACACGCCAACAACTCTAGCAACACATGTTGAACACATGTTGAAAAACACCATTAATCACCAATATATTATTTTCATCACTTCCCTCGTTGTCTTTCATTTCCACATCCTCTTGTTTTGTTTTTTTAATAAAAGCTTCACCCATTATGTTTTCTTAGACCAGAGGAGGAAATGACTTCCTGAGTATAATTATCTGGTAGTGAAACTGACAAATACATTGAACATTTGTGACAAATTACCCCATAATGAAAAGCAAGTGAACAGGGCTAGAAATGAAAAGCTCTCCGTTCTTGGCTGGGGTATTTGGGTGCAAACTACATAGCATTTCTTTCACTCCCTTTAGTGGAGCCGTCATGAAGCCAAATTTGCACTAGCCCAGGCTGTGTGGCAACCCAAGGCTATCGGGTTAAGAAATACATCTCAATCTGTGTGACTGATAATTATGTATAATATGGTTCACCCTGCATAACCTTTCACTTCATTAACAGCCGAAACAGGCTCATTTCATTTTGACCATTTAGCTGTATTTCTTCCTTTTTGTCTTTTACATCTTCCTATCTGAGCACAGAGCATTTCAATTAAAATGGCACATTCATCACCATACAAAGAGAGGCATAGCAGGGGATGTACAAAGCTGAACTGCAGTAACAGGCGGTGCAGATGTAACATAAAGGCAAAAGGGAAAATTGGCAGAGCAAATATGTCCACTGATGCAATTAACACATGAAGGGGTGAGTGGACAAGTGAGTCAGCTCAGTGTGAGATGGCCTTGAACAGACCAGCAGCTCCACATGCTGTAACACTGCACAGCCTTTACAGAGAGCATACATCGAGTAACTTTCTGGTCAATAAAGCCTATTTGAATTGAACTAACCCTAACTGAACTGACGTAAAGTAGTACAGGTATGCAAGTTTTGTGTAATTTAAGATTCCACCAGCCTGTTTGTCTGCTGCATACTGTAATTGCCCAGACAGTTATAGGCATAATTCTAATGTTTACATTGTATAACACATGGACATAAATGGCAAATGGTCAAGCACTGCACCTCGGACTTATGCCATTTTAAAAAGGACAAACAAAGAAGGCCTTTGTTTTCAAAACAATTTACAGTATTAAGCATTACAGCATTTTCTCCCACAGTCAAATTTATTATCTTGGCATCTGACAATGAGCATTTATAACAATCTGCTTGACATCCAAATGAATCATATTCTTCAGACATGTGTACAAGCTATCTAAAATTTTGTCATCCTGTTTTCCAGTATTGTAATTTCGGTGTATTGGTTTATTCTCTAGACACAACAACTACTGCATGCCTGCATGTGAGAGTGGAGTTTTTCCTCTCCAGTGTCGCCAAGTGCTTGCTCAAGGGGGATTTGTTGGGTTTTTCCTCTATAATACTGTAAAGCTAGACCTGACTATGTAAAGTGCCCTGAGATGATTGTTGTTGTGAATTGGCACTATAAAATAAAAGGCTTCTTCCATTTTTTTTGGTTTAGCTTGAATTCATATGTGCACATATACCCAAAAATAACCACTGAGCACTTTCCTGCTTTGTGAATTTTAAGCACAGAATCTTCCCTGAAGATTACAAAACATACCACTGTATAGGTGGCAAGAGGAAAGCAGGTACTTAAATGCAAAGTTCAGTCGCAGGTAAGATATCAAGTGGTTTTTGTAAATCACCACAAGTTGTCACTGTGGCACCACAGACAAGCACATCTCAGTGCAGAGCTGTATTAGCCGAAAGGCTGGACAGACGGACGGACACACACACACACACACCCTAATGCATATTATTGACTCTGTGGTCATAATTATCTTATTCCTTCACCTTCACCGGCTCTCGGTCTCTCTTTACACAAAGGCCCACACACACATAAAGACACCTCATTTGCATGGTGTTTTTCTCCAGATTATTTAGTTGAAATACCAATAGCAGCAGTGCTGTCAAGCAAATAGCATAAACTCAGACTCTGTGATGAATACTGATGATGACGCAAACTGAGGTGCTGAGATATTTGACAGCAGCAAAACGGAAACTGCTTGGATAGCTGAGGGTCATCTGCTTTTCCTCTACTGCCCCCAACTACCTTTGAAATGGCTACATAAAGACAAGCAGACACAGAGATTTCTTCTTCTCCTCCTCCTCGTCCTCCCCCCCAGCTCTGCGGCGTATTAGCTACTGTAACCAACTCACTGAATATCACTATATATCTAACTGTGTTAAATTAGTGAGATCTGAATATTACTTTTTAAAGAGCTGCTTCCAGCCCATTGTGGTCTGCCTTCAACTGAGCTGCTCCTCGACCTCCAAAACCAAATACGGTTTTTTCCTCCAACGGCAGCACTTCAAATCTAGTTACTGTCCGTTACGGACAACTGTGGGGCTTTTTCCTTAGCCCATCTCCTCTGTCCCCTTTTTTCTTTTCTTTTTGTAACTCAATATGAATTTATTCCAACACATAATACACAAAGACATGCATATCTACAGCCAGAGTTTGCATATAAAATTCCCTCCTCTCATAGTTAATAGCATTTTAATGTGAAAACCTCTATCTTCTCTTAATTGTGATGTTTCAGGCTATGTGGAGTCTCTTTATTAGAAATCCTGAGTCATGTTAGATCCTGATGCTTCACTGTACATATATCAAATGACCAAAATAGAAACATCTGTGCAATGTAAAGTAATCCAAAGCAACAGTAATAAAGTTAATATACTTGTGTATCCTGTCATTTTGTTTTATTGGTGACACTGTCAACTCTATAGCTTTAACATTTGCAGCAGTGTTTTACTGAAATACGGTTCTAATATTTTGCTAAATCATACAGTATGTACAACCTAGGTGGACAAAATATGACAAATCAATTTCAGCATGATGCAGTTCAAATAGGGCGTCCCTACTAAATATAGTCACAGAATTGAGTTAATACTCAAAACAACTGAAGTGGAGGTCTCAAAAAACATTGCAGAGCTGGTGTATTGTGCACCACTAAATTATAGAGGTCTAATTTTCTGTTTATTCAGTGTAAATAATGACAGAGTAACAAAACCTGCCCTTTTCACTTGCAGAGCAGAACTAAAATCATCTCTCTTCTATTCTTGATTATCGCTGTTCTCTTGCCTTGCTTGTACTATACCTTGTCGCCACTTGTTATGCTTTATGTTTGTCATTTAAAGGCTTTGCAATCACCGGAAACAGACTCTTGTCTGTCCCAGTGATTAAAAAAAAAAGCAAAAAGCAGCAGCGTTTTCTAACCTCAAAAACTAAAATAACTGTGACCTCAATAATAAACATGTAGTTGAATTAACGTGTCTCTGACAGTGTCAACAAACACAATCGGTTGTATTGGATTACAGTAAAATTATATGTAGCTGACCTGGCACTGTACGTCAGCAGCCTTTTAAAGATGTTCCACGACAATGCATTCACTCCCTAGACTTTATTCTTATTAAATATCAAAGCCTTATTACCCAAACTACCCCATTTCAACTAGGAACTATTTTTGTTTGTGGATGATGTGACTACAGTTAAAACCTAAAGAACACAGTTGTGTTATCTCAAACCCCAGATATTTGGTGAGTACTCCAAAATATAGTCTGAACTACACCACACACATTACAGAACAGTGAAGAGAATAAGACAAAGAAAAAAATCATGTCTTTTCAAACATCACACACAGATATGGGGTCATGGCTAACACAACCATGTACTGGAGGAGGCGGCAGGTGACAGTGAACGGGCAAGCAGATTAGTATAAAACATGTGGGTACATATGAAAAAACTTGAGTGTATGACCTGATGTGGCACTAGACCCAGAGAGGTGGGAGGTTCATTCATTCGGTCGTCACTGCTGCTGGCAACTGCGTAGCCTCTGGATGGAGAAAGAGGGAGAAAATTATCTACTTGAAATGTTTTTTGCCTTATGATTGTAACCACATCATTGGAAACGCTTTCCTGCCATGCAAATAAGCCTTTTATAATTGTGAATTTTAATTTGACAGAAAAAAAAGCAGTAAACCTCCTCAGAGAACATCCCACAACATAACACATTTTCTGCCAGGTATGGGCCGGACAGAATAACACATAAGTTAATGCATGGTGATTTATTTTATCATACATAGCTGTAGCAAAACGCTGTATAATAAAAAAATGAATTTGGTCACTTTAAAAACTAAGAGGTCACATGAGATCGGAAAGCTCCTGCTTACCAGTAGATCTGGCCAGGTTTAAATGAATCGAGTCTCTACGGATAACAATAACAGAAATTTCAAGTCTCAACGTGAGGCCAGAGTGGTTTAGCAGAGTAAGAATGAGCTGTCAATCTGCGGCAAATTTAATCCCTGGGTGGCAAGTCTCTGAGGTCCATGGCTGTTACAAAGTAAAATTCCATTTGAAAGTTATTGGTGTAAAGGAAGGGGGTGAAGAGAATACATGGAAATTCTCCTTCTCTCCATTGCTTTCTAAGCTTATTTTCCAGGATAGGCAGAGCAGCTCGATATCAGCTTATAACATCTCCAAACATTCTGAGAGAAAATGGCTTTATTATCAGGTCCAGCATGTGGCCACTTTAGTATGATTTTCACCAAAACAGGCACAAAGACACTCCCATGCACATGAACACATACCAAACAGGCATGAACACATCCCTTTATATTTTTGGAAAAAAACAAATCTAAGTCAGCTTCAATCGCAATGAGAAAGTGAAAGAATTGCAACAAAGCTTCCATGGAGAACGAGTATTTGGGCTCAAGTAAATTTCAGTGAGCTGTGCTTTAAGGGCGCTAGCTGTGGTGCAGTGAGACTTCAGCTGCAGTGCTGATCCATCAAAAAGCAAAATTAGGCAAATAAAGCTTACTGAAAGTTTCGGAACTACAACCTCATATGCAGTTTCCTTTCGTTTTAAGCCTGGAGTGAGGTACCACCATGAAGCTCTGATGAAACGACATTAGACACCTTACTGGTGATCAGGGCTGTAGTAGCTCACTACAGTAGATGGGTCTTGCAGACCTCTGAAAGTGTTTACAACAAATTTTTATTGGATTCTGATTTTAATGTGGAAGAAGTGTGAGAAATGAAGAAGACAACTGGGGGTATCAGGTGCACAACAAACGTGGACCAGCTATGATGTGTGGGTAAACTCAAGTGACTACGTGGGAGCATTGAGAAGGCCAATTCAGAGGCAAGAGTGTCTGCCGTAGTCACTCCATGCAGCAAGAGGAGAAGCCAGGATGAGGCTCACCATGTTCTCATATTAAAATTAAACTGAAAAAGTTCATTTTGTGTACAATACCAAATTTAACTTTGTCAGGAAAACTATTTAACAGGAAAAGCATCAACAAAAATGCACAGGTTGCACTTTTTTAAGTATGTACAAAGGAAAAATGTTGTTTCAGTGCAGCCTCACACTGTTAATTCAGATCTTTATAAAGCATTTGAACTATCAGATATAAGATAAAGGTTCTTTCATTTGTTTCAAACAATTATTTAACATAATTTTCCTTTCATACCTCTCCTCCTCTATTCATTGCTACTCCTATGACTACTCCTATGATCCAGTAACTTTAACTGTGCTTACCCTTCACTGTGCTGCAGAATGGACACCATCATCTCTACAGCCAGGGCTCCAGCAATCATGGCAAGGCCTGGTCTACTGACTGTGCACTGCTGATCCAGAGTCCGATCCCTGGTCGACTGGTCACAAATAAAAACACAACAATAGCATAAAGCAAATAAACTAACTGGTAATATAAAACCTCAATGATACCAGTACAAGCTTCTAACATTTTCTTCTGAAATAAGAAGAGAAGATCACAAGTGTGGACAATTATATACCAAATAAATACATCTTTTGTAGCAGAAAATTGTTCCACGTACAATGACTGACTAAATGTTTTTGAACACTTGGTGGCAGCAGAACAAGCTTTAAACACAACATACAAATCACTATTTTATAAATGTCATCCAATTTTAATCCAAAATTGATTCCAATTTTAGCTCTCCTCCATCTCCTGAGGAAAAATGTTACTCTTTAGCTCCTAGATGCTCAACTATGTTCACCCACTAGTCGCTTACTTTGTCTGACATTTTGGTGCTGAGGACGTAGTGTACACTGGGTTTATCAGAGCTTTATTGCTGTTGTGTGCTGTGGCTGTACAAAGTACAACTTTTAAAATGTATGTTAGTGGAAGAAAACATCTCAAAGAATCCTAGCAGCTTTGTTTATTCTTAAATATTTTGATTATTTTCATGTGTGTTTGTTTTGAGTGTATGAGGTGATTAAATGTTGAGTGCATGCTTGTTAACTGTGTTTTTCCCCTCACATCTCCGGGTGCAACAACATCATTGCAGAAGTAGCATCCCAGCTTGTGCCCTGGGATGTTGGAGAACAGAGAGGATCCTGGGATGGAGGGCACAGAGCCAGCTGGCGTGGAGGACGAAGAGGAAGCAGAAGAACAAGAAGAGGAGGAGTCCGCTGCAGCAGACATACTCTGACTGATGGGGGGCTTCTTCAGGCCATGGCGCATAACAACAAATGTGTCAAAGCCCAGAGCAGCATTCACCACTAGCTGGAGAAAGAAAGATAACAATTATGGTAAGGCAAGCTAACAAAAGGTTTTACACAAAGCAGAGGAAATAACAGATTTGAAATAGTTTTAGCTTAAATAGAGATATTTTCCATTAATTCTAAACACACAGCACATTTCAACCAAACCAAACAAATTAACTTGTTTTAAAGAGACAATAATGGTGCAAGATGTTGAATCATTTCAAAAAGCAAAGACATAAAACATTAATAGGCTCTTTAAAAATGCCGAATGCATATAAACCTTCGGAAAAGTAATTGCAATAAATTGTGATGCCAATTTGTCTGAAACAGCCCCACAGCACAAAAGGCCAAATAGGCTCTCAATGAGCAGGCCATGAAGAACATCTAATAAGCAGCCCAAAAAACACTGAAAGGCATGTAGTAATATAAGAGGTGCATCAATGATACTACTGGAGGCATTGCAAGTTCTGACACAGTGTTCAATAAATCTAATGTTGCCTGGCAACTAATAGAATTCCAACTGGTAAATAGAAAATTTGGTTCTTGTTACTGAGCAATTCCAATCCCAGAGAAAGAAATGAAACGGCTTCCATCTTGAAACAAAACAAGGCTGTTAGTCATAAATGTGTTGCACTGCGACTCCCACTGTAAACCCTGAACATACGTATACTGTATGCTGAAAGTCTGAGTCTTCATTTCCTTATAATACCTTAGTACCACCATCAACATACAGTACCCCGAATCATAAATAAAACACTTTTTTGTGTATATTTGATACCATAATGTAATATTATGGGGCGAATGTGGCTCGGTGGGTAGAGCAGTTGTTCTCCCAACCGGAGGGTTGGAGGTTCGAATCTCGGTGCCTGCAGTCCACATGTCAAAGTGTCCTTGGGCAAGACACTGAACCCTCAAGTTGCCCCCGATGGTTAGAGCCATTGGTTTGAGTTGGCGCCGCAGATGGCTGCCTTGGTTCTGTACCGAAAACAAATTCCTTGTGTGTAACATACTTGGCCAAGAAAGGTGATTTATCCTTATTACAGACCAAACAAGGCCACAGTTTTGTTGGTTTTTATATTTTCACGTGCCTTAACCTGGTTATTTGGACTGCTGAGCAAAAACAATGTGTGAGGTGTAATTAATATGCTTTTAAGCAGCTACAATCATTGTTTTCCATAATAATAAATTAAATGACAATGTGATAATAATGTGAAAATCTAAAAGTGGTCACTGGCAGTGTTGTAGCTACAGAGAATTATCACCCACTTTTGCAGCTCCAGCCAACTTCAAGGGCTTTTAAGTGCATTTCAACTCACTGTTTAGATGTCCAACTGCAACTGTTCACTCCCACTGCTCTCAGTGTTTTCAGCCTCAGCAAGCAGCTATGCTCAATGTAGAAGCTCTAACAGCCAACTGTACACTTCCTGTGCTGCACTGAACATCAGACAGGCACTATTAGCATTAGCAATTAGCTGGAGACCACAGTGAAGCATTTAGCAGCTAATTGCAGTGCACATTGCAGTTTATATATTTTATTTATTACTTTATATATTTTAGAGAGGAGGTTCAGGTCATGTCAAAATCTTGGAACTGTAATGTGTTGAAATTTTTACATTCCTTTAAATAATTTTACATGAACCAACATGAGCATTAATTTAGAGTCTGGCAAGGAGCATCATGATGAATGTAAGTGTAATACTCAGTCTCATTTGAGATGTCTTATAAAAAAAAAAAAATAAATATCTGAGTCCTTAGCTTCTAGATGTTTGACTATCTGGACCAGCTACTTTGCCTGTTTACCAGAACTTCTTAGCTGAAAACACCTGCCTGCTGCTGTGAATAAGACTGATGGGAGTAATGACACTGTACAGTAAATATGCTAAACTAAAACAGTGAGCTAAACAGGCTTGGAAGCCCCCACAGAGCAATAACTGCCTAGGTATTCATGACTGCAAGCATTCCAGCTACACATTACACATTCCTCATTTGAATCAGTATTACCTAAAAAAAAATATACTGCAACTGTGGATTTAATTAACACTAGTAAGTGACACTGAGGCTGTTTTGTTCAGTGCACACACTGTGCTCCTGCTTTCTACCTTCCTCTTGCTGGCAGCTATCACAGTAGGCAGCCACCGGCTCTCCCGCGTATCCATAAGTAAGAAGACCACATCGTGTTCTGAAATGAGTTTCTCCAGCTGCTCAACGTCCCTAAGAAAGAGTGGCCTCAGAGAAATTCACTGGGTGGCCGGGCATAGGGATGCTCATATTGTAACCCTCTGCGTTCTGCAAGAAGAAGCAAAAGTGATGGAAGAGAGTAACAGAGCAACACAAGACAGAGAATAACAGGACACTGCTGACAAGTTCAGCCAAATATTGTTAATCAGTAAAGTTAATCCATGGAATTTACAAATGCAAAGTCAAAATGAAAATTAAAACACTATTAATCAATTTTAAATTTCATGTACATGGAAAACCCAAATGATAACGTTGTAGCTGGAATGAAGATGAAACATTTGGATATGCTTCTTTGACACCTGAACCAAACACATTTTAACACATTGTGCCACCTACAAGCCACAGGGTGTACACATTGCTAGTGTTAAAATAAAAACCTTTTGTCTCATTCCCACACATCAGCATCTCTATATCTAGATGTTGTTAGGGTGATTTTATTTTATGCACTTAAGAATGGTTTTATTTTGTAGCACACATAAGTTTACATACTTACATGTCACAGATATGTTTATGTAGTTATTTTTCACCCAATTATATGTTCACTAAAATAAAGAGAAAATAAGTTTCTGTAGGAGACACTGAAAACTTGTGTTATATTGCAGGCTCTTA